CAACTTAGCCCCCACCTACGCCGAACTTGGGCCAACTTAGCCCCCACCTACGCCGAACTTGGGCCAACTTAGCCCCCACCTACGCCGAACTTGGGCCAACTTAGCCCCCACCTACGCTGATTTGTTTAGTAAATAGAATCAATTTCAGATTTGGTCCTGAGATTTTGTCAAACACCTGCCAACTTTCCGAAGCTATGGAGTCTCCACTTTTGCGAGCTGGTGTTGCAGCAGCCCACCTAGCCTTGGGGATGAGCCCAACCTCCAGCACAAGGAGCAGTGATGGCAGCGATGTAAAGTCAGAGGTCAAAGAAGAGACGAAAGTGAAAACAGAGGTGAAGAAGGAGATGTCCCCAGCAGCTGCGCATGTGCAAAGCAGTTTGTTATAAGGTATTTTCAATGTTCACTAGGTATCAGTTGCCATCATTTCAAGACCATCCTCATTATTAGTTTTTTACTGAGGGCAAGCCAGATGACATGACAGCCAAGAGAAGGAAAACCGAGTGGCAAACAGCTCTCAAGAAAATGCCCGGAGACACGAGCTTTGTCAAGGCCAGGAACAGGGGTTCAATATGTGAGACACATTTTTGCAAGTTGGTGCTTTTGATTGAAATCAACTTGGAATCAAATTTATCTATCTATCAACCAGGAAGTTCTGTCATATCTTGCACTCTACGTGGAACCTCCGGCTGCTGGGGCTACTCTATCCACAAACCACCCTGTTGACCTCGTCCTGGATGCTTTCAAGAATCCAGAAAGCGTCCAACCAACCATGCACAAGCTGAAAGTCTTTCTGGAGGAAGCACTGAAAGTTCAGGGAAAGAAGATGGAGTGCTCTGCTGTGCCAGCCACTTCCAGAATGTTCAGAAGGATGTTTCTGTTTAGAAAAACTGTGACCAGTTTCCTACATGTTCTTGTTTAATACATGTCCTTGTCTGTCTGACTTCTTTAGACATGCTTTGCTGAGGACGTTTCATCACTCTACGGGACCAGCACTCACTTAACAACGATGGTGCCATTGAGTGCTATTTGCATCGTCCGACCAGCAGACATGCCTTGCATTGAGGACTGGGTCACCTGCTGCCTAAGCTTCCTCTTCAATGGTTCTCGCTTGTTCAGAGAGCCCCTTGACTTGAATGTGATGCAAAAGGCAGATGGTGCTGGTGTGGACACCTCTCAGCCCTTCCTGGTCGTGAAGAAAGGCTTTACACGGCTGATACATGATGGCAATGAGTACTTTTGCTTGAGTTGCATGTATCTCTACCTTCAGTATCTATGGAGTTTTCATTGAAATGCATGAATGTCAGGACAGCAGGCTTGTTCCTCTTCCTGGTTGCATCAGATCTTGACCCGATCGGAGCAAAGGACCAACATTGTTTGTGTTTCAGCTGCTGATATTGAAACATACTTCCCAGTTGTAAATCAGGAAGTCACAGAGTGTGGCAGGACCTCTTGCAATGTTTGCTCCCAGCATTTGCCGACTTCTTCAGTCTTCCCTGTTCCATCACTGCCTGTACGTGCATGGAGACAGTTAACTTCGAGGCGATCCAGTTGAGCACACAAGGGTCCGAGCGCCAACGCAAAGATGCAACTCAGCTGTACGGACCAAGGACAACTTTTGATGTGGGCCCAGGAAAAACATGTAACCAACCTCTCAACCATAGACACCAAGGTACTCAAACTGGCATCACGGTTTGAGATGCTTTTGAAGGAGCGACAACAGACTGAGAGTGGACGCGAGCAAAACGAGTCGGAACTTCTCAATGAGCTTGTTAGTGCTTACAACTCATATCGAGCAAACGCTGCGATCAAGCGGTGGCAGATCAGTGGTGATCAGCAGGCAGCAATTTGGTGCATTATCATTGGGCTCGATGATACATCACGCTGCCTGCTGCGTTCCCACTTGGACCACAACAAGTGGGAAGAGTCAGGCATCATTGCTGATATTGGCGCATTGGTTTTCTGTTGTTCTACTTTTAGGCGTTGCCAAGGCTGAAACAACAATCAAACCAACCTATGAATACGTGTTTTCTCACTTCTGAGGATACAGTGAAGCCATCCTGAGACTGAAGAGACATCTTCTCAACGAGGCACCCAAGGGCTTGACACCATTTTGGGAAAAGCTGCTTACAGCATCTTGCCTGCTTTACCACAGTTTTATGTTTTTTTGTGCGAACCGTGTTCACCCCTGATTCATGCTTATAAAGTTTGATGTTCTTCACAACAAGGTCACACCAGAAGCACAACACTTGCACTTTCAAAAGTACAACATGTGGTGGAGCAACAATGCCCGTCGTATGAAAAAGACGATGCGGTGCCGCCTGCGGTGGTCAGAAGAGCAGTGGACAGCGAATGTGAACCACTGTTGCATATTTATCTGGGTCCGTGGCCACTGTGAGAATGACCCAAATGTCACACAGGACATGATTGATTCCATGCACTCGGGATTCATGAGCGGGTCACTTGATCAAACTAATTCCTTTGTACTTTTTTGACCTTTTTGCATGATGTGTGATTGGCTTGGTCAATTCCTTCACTGGCTAACCACAGCAGCCTAGGGATTATGGAATGGACCTTGACGCAATCCTGGTGGCGAACCCCTGAGATGACGGCGATGTGGCAGGATCACGTGGGCAGAGTGCTCCTGAAACCAGGAGGCAACAACATCACTGCAGAAGACACAAGCTCGGCAGTGGATGCAGCACAGGAGAAACTTTCAGAGAAAACATTCAATTTGGTCAGGCTCATGTAATGATGTGAAACAAGTTTCCCCTGGTATGCCTTCATATTCTTCTAATACACTTGGTTTTGATGGTTCAAGATATCAGGAGGCATTGCTGACAGCGGAGTATGGCGTGGTGTGCGCCAACTTGTCCCACGATTACAAGGAAGCTGTCAGCTACAATCTGAGAAAGAACAAGGCAGATGTCATTGAACAAGAAACAGTGTTCATACAGTACACGGTACACGTGACAGTTTGTTCCTGGCAGGTTGATTCTTCTCGACATGTCGCCCAAGCCACTGGGTTTGTCAACTTTATCAACCCTTTTGGTTCTGTGTTTTGGTGTTGGTGTGATTAAGCTGCAACTACTTGACACCAAACATCTCAGGTGTTGCACATGAGAGACCAGATCCAAACCGGACTCAATGTCGCAGATGCTTTTATGCAGAAGCGATTGCTTATGGTGTGCGCGGACAAGAATAAGGGTGTGCGCGGACAAGAATAAGGGCAACACTTTTGCTGGCCTGATGCGAAGAGTGCTCACGGACGCGCAGCAACGCTTTGATGCCGCTGACCTGAACCACCTTCACCACCTGGGCTTCATAGACGTCACGAAGTATGGCCGTTTATCAGCAGTTGAAATCCAAGAGATTTGCACGTGGTGCCACCAATTGCTCAGCCAAAACCCTGAGTTTAGTTCCTTGGATGACAATTGTTTTGGTGTAGTTTTTTGTATAACAGAAATAGAGTCCAGCAGCGAGTGAGGCATGGTCTTCATGACCTGTCCAGTGATCGCCAGCGACTCCGTGTTGAACGGCTTACGGGGCGAGTACAGGCAAGGATTGCGATCTACATGTGTTTGCCTTGTTTCGTTCATTGAGCATGAACCCATGATGAGGCGGATTGAGGACAAGCTCAACCAGATGCAAATGGAGGCAAAGGTCGTGCAGGTCATGTTTGACACAGCGACATTACAGGGGAATCGGATCCTTGCAACAACTTTGCACTATTTGGTCTGTCGTTTTAGTGTGTGCATAGTAGTTCCAAAATTATATTAAGTATATACAGTTTTTTATCTCTTGGACATCGAGAACAGGACCTTCCCTCGGGCATTGCCTGCTTGGTTGATCACTTTGGATTCCACCTTGGGCTGTCGCCAGGGCACTCTCTTCAAGGCCCCGAGAAACTCAGAGCGGAAAGTCACAGATGACAATATCTGGACAAAGTCTGACTATTGGAACCTGCTTGTATGTCCACCTTCGGTTCCTTTGCCAGTCAGCCAACAGGTCCACATTCAGTAACATTTGGCGTTTTCTTTCTATGGTGTTTGTACAAATAATCACATATTGGAAACCGTTTGCAGCCAATCAGAATGAACAAAACAAGGCGAGTACGTGACGCCGGAAAGTGGCACGTTCTTTACACATGAACAAGGCCGATCTCTGACCGAAACCTGGTCTAGAATGAGCATTCCACATTTTACTCTTTACACCAAGTCAGTGTAGAACTTGTTTGTGCAAATGCATGTATATTCCAAAACCTGAGGACAAGCAGGAAGGAGCTCAGTGGTTTGCAGCTCCAGCAGCAATTCACAACATTATCTCAACCTGCCTTTCTCGCGTCAGCAGTTTGAAAGGGCAGGCTTTGATCGTTCAGCATCTCACAACATACGACGGGGTCATGGAAAAGGCAGGGGCTTCTCAATACTGTGTGTTTTTTTCTCTGGTCTGTTGTGTTGAAACCAGTGCTGATTGAAACTGCTTGTCATGGTATACTTGACATGTTTGGATGTAGGTCCTCCTGGACATCATGAATGAGCTCAGTGGAGAGTGCTATGTTGCAGGGTTCAGCGAGACACAGAACCCAAACATATTTCAATATGCAGTGACCGGTGTGAAAGACAAACTCCTAGGGGACAGTCAACTGTCAAAACCAGTGATGAGTGATGGCTGCTCAATTTTGATGTGTTAAATTTTTGCTCTCTTCAGTTTTTGTGTTCAATTGTACAACAAAACTGTTCAGGAGTGGAAGACCAGCAAAGGGCTGATCGGGCAGATGGCACCAAAGTTCCAAGAGACTGCTGACCTCTCAGACCAGATGGCCCCGAGAATGCCGCAGCTCAAGCTTTGTCGGATGACAGAGGAGGGGAGCCTGTCGATACCCAATGAGGTTCGGGACAAATGGCTGTCCGATCCTGTGCGGAGTCACTTGGACACATTTCGTTGTTTGCCCACAAAACTTTTTGTTTGCCTACTATGTTTTTTGTTCTCTCATATGAAGTTGGTGGTAAAAGTGGAAACCTTTGAATCTAAGACCCTGATTGGCGGACACGTCTCAAGAACTTTGACAGTGTGTTCACACCAACGACTGCAGCACCACCAGCACCCAAAACAGCAGATGAGACAAAGGATCTTGGCAAGGAGGAGACTGAAGCGGCTGTTGCACCACAGACTGTTGTTGCATGTCCAGTACCTCCGAGCATGTCGGAGGAGGAGTTCAAAAAGCAGCATCCACAGGTGGAAACAACAATCACACTGGCCATGGGGACCAGCGTAACATGCTTTGTGGTGGGGGGGAAGGTGTTCATCCAGTCAGCCGCAAAAGTTCTTCTGCCTGGCGTTATGTCAGAGAACAGCAAACCAATCTTCATGTACGCTGGTGGCTCTTGGATCTCCGAATCTGCCAAGGCTCCCAGAGTAAAGTTTTCATTGTTTGTGCAAACACAGAGCCAAGACTACATATGTTTTTGACACAGCCTGAACAACACAGGCTCAGGAGTTCATCAGCAAACCTGCCAACGAGGGCAAAGCGATCGAATTCCGGGTTGCATCTGGTGAGGATATGGTTCCTCAACTTGATTGATGGCTTGATGGTTTTCTGATATATTGTTGCTCCAAGGATATTGTTTTCTTCACACTTTTGGCAAACATGTTTTCAACAAACTTTGTCAGGTAGTGCTTGAGGAGCAATCCACCCAAGGGCCAGCAGACTCTGCACCCATGAGTTTTTTTCAGCTGGTGCTTTCCATGGAGCGGAAGGGAATCCTCGACTGCAAGCTTACTGGTCACACAGTGGACCGGCCCGCCGCGGTCAAGAGGGGGGAAGAGCGAGATCGCATTGAGATTTCCCATGAGAGCTACAGCGTCTTCAAGCCCAACAGCGTCAGTGCCAAGCAGGCCAAGGCCACAAACATAGCAGGATTGCTGGGCTTCAAGGCCTTGAACACCAGCAATCATTTGCAGTTGGTCTGGCGAAGCTTGGATTGAATGTTCAAACTTGTGCAATACCTCTGCCAACTATATGATTCTCTCTACCCTTTGTATGCTTAAGGAATGCGGCATTTTGTGCGAGAGAAGGTGCTTGGACCAGCAAAGCCATTGTGGTATGTGAGGGGCGCTGGATTCACCATGGAAGCAGGCCAAGTCTACCAGATTGCATGATTAGTGTGTGAACTTGAACAGTAGCAATGTTTAGCTAGGTGTGTTGAATGTCTGTAAAGCCGTTTTTGGTGTTTGGTGGACGTGACAGCTCGGCCTAGCTGCTTAGCTTCCATGTTGGCAGTTCTGGGGTTTGCCATGTCGGCAGGCTATTTGCCAATTGGGCATGGATTTTGTGTAGGTCTGTCCATACTTTGGACTTAGACTCAACCAGTCGAATCCTGCGGATTGACAGGGGAAGAAACGAGGGGTCACTGTTCACAAGTGCCTGTTTCAATTCCGATTGGAATTGAGTGGTTGCATGTAGGCAAACTCCTTTGTTCACTCCACAGGCATTTTGTTCAATCAGTTGGCATTTGTTTTCTTTCGTGTCCAACACCCATTTGCCTGGCATGATGGGAGTTCCACAGCAAGAGATTGTGGATTTAGATGTGGACACCACAATAGACCCGCAGCTGATCAGCAAGCATTTGAGGGCACCAGCAGCACCTGAACCACCAGCAGCCTGTGAAGTGATGAGGTCAAGGCCTTCATCCAATGCAGCAGCTTCAGAGTCAGGTCAATCCAGGGTGTCTTCATCCCTTCTCCAGCCAAAGGCTCCATCTTTCTTTGCCTTCAAAGTGGATCCGAGCTTGGAGAAGTATATGCTTCGCCCGAGTGAAACTTAGATCCAACATGACAACTTTTTCCACAGTTAAACCTAAGTACTTTTCCTCAGTACATTTCCTTCCAAGGTCCCCAGGATTTTGGTTGTGGTATCAGTAAGGAAATGGCCATGCCGGTGGAGACCATTGCTCGGCCATTGAGGGATCCTACTTCACGCAAGCTTGAATTTGAAGAGGCACCAGCCAAGCAGCCGTATGCATTCTTTGAACAAGATGAGGAGCTGGCTACCGCCCTGCAGGGATCTTTCTTACATGGTGATTTCATGGCCCTGGAGAAAGGGGAGTCTGATGCACCTGACACGCAGATTGGTGAACCAAGTTCAGCTTACCTTGAAGCTGTGGCTAAAGGCAGAAGTTTGCTCACCCGAAGGCAGTCCACGGTGTGGGAAGATAGCCAGCTTGATGAGCCAAGCCCAATAGCAAATGATTCTGCTAAAGATGTTGCGAATGGTACACCTGATCATGAACCTGATGGCCAGGACACATGTTGGTTTTGTGCCCTAACCATCAAACCTGGCAACATATTTCTTTCACACCATTTCATGTGAAGGACCAGGCTGCAAATCATGATGAAGCAAAGGACATCACCGCCAGCAATGATGCTCCAACAGTTGCTTCAAATTGCACATTAAAACAAAACCCCAATTGTTGAACAGTTTTGTGTTCAAGACTTGTGGATTGATGTCCCACCCAAGGCAGCCCCAAAACGTGTTCGTCGTCATTCTGAAATGGCAATGGTGGAATCGATTCCTGATGACAAGTCTGCACAGTCTGAAGAGGTTCACACTTGCAAAACAAGTTTGTGTTTGACATTTGTTCAGTCCTGAAATTTTTGGTTCAGATTGTATTCAAACAGACCAAGGCTAGCAGCAGCAAGCAGGCCCGACTTTGCGTCATGCCGGACATGAGCCCTGGCACAAAGGCCAAAGTCAAGGAACAACAGTTGGTGAAAAAGCGTGCAACTTCACGGGCATGGCATGCGAAGTACAAAGCGAAGGGTGTTTCCCAGACCAGCAAGAAAACACCATTGTTTCATGCGCAGTGCTGAATTCATAGTTTTTTTTGTAATTGGGTGTTGCTTTGTGAACATTTTTGTGCCTCCTGTCAGGTTGTCAAAGATTCAGGTTCGCTTGTCACATCACCCCAGAAGGACAAGAAAACCCAGACTATGAAGAAGGCCGAGACCAATCAGGAGGGGGCTGACAAGAACATCAAGGACATGAATCAAGCTCATTGGGATTTTGCCACTTTGACACATTTGAAGTTTATGTATGTTTATAGAGTGTTTATTTGGTAGTTGCATTTTGGGTTCACTTCCAAATTGGGAAAGAACACGTGCACGAGGTGAGGGCCTACATGGAGGTGAATAAAGGTGCACAGATCAAGCAAGCCCATGCTGAGTGGATGAAATCTGCTGAACGGGCAGCATTCATTGCTGGCCGCAAAGGTGTCCAGTTCTGATGGGCAAGTTTCAAATGCCTTGGTAGCAGGTCTAGTTGTGATACCAACTAGATCTTTGATTTGGTTTCCGCTCTGGGGTACGCGGATGTTACCGACAAAGGACAAAGAAAGTGTCGAAAAATGAGTGCACACTTGTGGGAAAGGAACACACCAAACATCAAAGGTCATTTTTGTTGACATCCTCTGTTGGAATTGCACATGTGACAATTGCCATTGTGATGTGCTGTTCGCTTTGGTTTAGTTTGCAGTGTTCACTGCCCATTTATATGTTTGTATTGTTTTCTTTACTGATGTATTTGTCTATACACATACACGACACACGCGTCACAAACGCTCATGAACACAACGTCTTCCAAATGGAATCTGACCACCTGACCCATGTGGAGTTGATACAACCCTGTTGATTGTTTTTGTTTTTGTTTCCCTTTGGTTACACGCTTAAGTAGAAACAATTGCCATATTGGCACATCCAAAGGAACAAATACAATAAATGGTTTGAACGTTCGAACTTACAACATGGTGATGATAGTTTGGTGGTGATGGTTGCTATCAATCTGATGATAGCACCACTGCTGCCTTTGTCATGGCATGTTAGCTGCAAAGTGTAGTGCTATCCTGATAGCATTTCTGCTACCGCTGTATTGTGGTGGTGACTCCTGAGATCATTGCTACCATTGTGGTGGTAACAGCTGTTACCAATGTGGTGGTGATAGCATTTCTGCTGCCATTGTGGTGATGATAACTGCTACCAATGATAGCATTTTGTGCTACCATTGTATTCATGATGACAGCTGGTTCTCATGAATTGACAGCTGGTTACCATGAATTCAACTTCTTGATGGGCGGTTGGAGGGCCTGTTTCGATGGTATCCAGGGTGACCAGGAGTTTATTCACAAGTTGCTGCAGTTCAAACGACGCTCGCTTTGCACTTAAGGGCGCGCAAACACACCAATGTCCTTCAATCGGTCCCGAAACAGCAGTCGCCCAAACCAAGTACAGTAAAGGGCAAACATTCAAATGAATGATTTCGCTGGCTAGAAGGCTCTTGGCATTCTTTCCGGAGACAATGCTGCCAGTACTGCGACGCTGTTCGGACAACTGCAGCTGGGGAGCCTCAAGACTTGCTCTTCACTGCATACGGCAGAGCAGCGAGCCATCGAAGCACGCTACATGCCAAAGAAGTGAGCTAGGTTCCCTTCCAAATTATAGGAGGCCCATCAGTGATGTTTCCCTTTAATATTAGCTTGAGGTTGCTACGTACTCGGGATGATTGGGTTCGAGTTCACGGTGAAGCGCTTCTGACCAAATTGCCCGGTTTCTCACCCTTTCGAACCTCGACTTACTAGTGTGCAGCAGGTTTTAAAGAACATGTATACTTTACATTTGTAAGACCTGAAATCTCCAAGGTGTATATCCGGATTTGTTACACATTGCAGATCTCCAGGTGGTTCCCGACTGCATCGTGTCAACAATGTATGAGCTTGTTGAGGGTCGAAGAAACAAGGAGGAGTATCTGCAAGACCTTTACAAAGATTACCGAGCGTGGTGCAATACTAACAGTGCCTGAGCTTATACAACAGTTCAAGAAACACGGCTATGTTTTCTTTGTAGCGTGCGTTTCACGTCAAGTTTTAATAGTTCAAGGTGTGGCTCATGGTCTTCGCGCCAACCGCAAACTCTTTACTATGTCTGCAATTTCCCCTACATCGGTTGCCTATGCACACATTTCTCAGAAACTGCTCAAAGCTGCAGCAGCCAGAATGTTTCTCTTTTGGATCACAACTCTCGTTCACCAGTCTGCGTTGGACAACCCATCTTTGCACAATAAGTGTTTTGGACGCAGCTAGTTCGTGTTGTGTTTTATGTGTTTTTGCCAAGACATCTTGGCCAGCTCTAGTGGCCAAGGCACCGAGCAAACACCTTTCTTGGCCTTACAACCATTTATTCCCAATTGGCTGAAGAAGGGTCCCTTATCTGCAACTGTACGTGTTTTGTGGTGCAGCTCGAACAAACCATGTAAAGCATTCCAGGAAGTACCCCAGCAACACAGCTGTGGAAGAGATCCAGAGGGCTTACCTAGCCTTCCGCCGATCCTACAATTGTTGCCTGCCTGATGTATGCACGGGTGCAGTGAAAGCTTGTGCAATGGGTGCTACCCTCTTTGTATAGCTTTTGTCTGTTGTTGCTGCTAGCTGAGACCTGGCCGAAGAAGCACTAAGCGCAAACCGGTTATTGTGGCAGCTCATGCCAAAGCAACACCAATTAGAACACTTGAGCCTCCGCTGCTTTTAGGTAGGTGTTCGGTGTTTTTGTTTCTGTTGACAGGTTTGCACGGGTCCAAAGAGTAGCACTAGTGTATTGTCTACCGTGAGGCTGCTAGACTGGCTCCCAGTATTTGGAAATCCCCGGCGATACAGCGTCTTCCTCGACGAAGACCTCGTTGGTCGGATGAAGAAGCTTAGCCCTCTATAGTTCCACTTACACAGTTAAGTGTGCACATCGCACTGCTTCCCTTGTGTTCCCTTGCAAGCTGTTTGAGGAAGGTGATATCCCACTGCCACCCGCGCACACTGAGTGCAGTGGCATTGTCCCACTACGCACTTATGGTGAGCCTTCGATGGGTGGGCAAAGAAGCCCTCCTTAGCCAGTGAATGGAAAAGGGACAAGGGTTGGACCGCTTTCCTGAGCTGTGCTTTGTTTTT